TTCCTTTCTAGAACGAGAAAAAAAATTTTCAGGCGAATCAAAATTTTGATTGTAAATCTGATATGGAATGACCCATAAATAACTAATATTTATAATTCTTAATTTCTGCATAGGTACGATCATTTGCTGCACGAAAGTAACATAACAAACATTGAAAAAAGTATTTTTAGACAAAAAAAAGAAATATTGGACAGATTCCTCGAAATTTAAGTGAATTACAGTGTTGGCTTCAAAAGGATAATTGGAGGCAATTACTGAAGTTAGACGCAGCGAAAGACTTTAGTGTTCATTTCAGCATACAACAAAATGAAACAAAAGCCATAATTTTTATCGACCTTTTGATATTGTTACGTCCGATTTTTATGGGGACGCGTGCCTCAGGAGGAGACGAAGGAAAGGTGTGAGAATTGGTGGGGTGGTTGAATAAATGAATAGCGAGATTAGGAAAGAACGTAACTATATTATAACTAAGACTTATTTACAAGGACGAGAGAGAGGGACAACAACGGAAAATAGGGAAACTAGCCCAGAGAGGGCAGGTCCTTGGTCTCTCGCAGTGGTTTCTTGTTCCGTTTCACAATTCGGACCCTCTGCGGGAGGGCCTCTATGCGGACGATGCAGGGCCTCGTCCTCATCAGGGCGGGCTGTGCCTTGGGGGCCTTCAGTCCTGGTGGGGTCCTCTTCTCCAATCCCGTTGATGGAGGCCGAGGTGCCGCTCCAAGTGCCCCCTTAGGAGCTCTGGGCGCTGGCGTGACGGGTGGACGCGGTGCCCAAGTCCGGACGGGGCAAGGATCCGGGGGTTGTGGACGGGTGAGGGGGGGTGGTCTCTCGACTGGGCCCGGGTTCCCGGCTCCTGGTAGAGGTGGGGGTAGGCTTAGCCTGATCAGGGGTTGCGGATAAGGGGGAGGGGGTGGGAGCGAGGGTTTCGCAGGCTCTAAAGGGCTATCGAAAATCCTGGGATCGAAGACCCCAGGAGTAGCGTATGCTCGTGCTATTCGCCTGAGCTGGACTTTGCGTCCAGCTCGTCGCGATCTGCCCATTTCTGGGAGTGCCTGCGGGAAGCATCTCGAGTTAGCTGAGTTACAAAGCGGGGGAAGCAATGCATGCTGTTAGTCATGGTTGTAGCTTATGCTAATTTACTATTAATTAATATAGATCCTTTAAATAGGCACCCAGAGAAAGATAACTGTTTCGAAATCGCGGGGGAGGAAGTGAAAGTGAAACTTCAGATGCTGTCGTTTAGTAGAATGCTCAGATGGATTCTTCGATTATAATAATCGATTCAGTGCCGTCATCACTGCATTCTTGGCAACTTCTGATTCATTTTATTGTAGTAGGGAGACCCGCGAGTGAGTACTTTGACTGCGGTTAACGTTAATCTGCAAATGGAACGCGTAAGTGGCAAATCAAAAGTAAGTACGTAATTACGTCATGGCACCGAACGAAATAACTAAAGTTCATAACAATTAGAACGTAAGATTGGTAAATTCCGCTGTGTGCCCATCTTAGAGCGAGATTCCGTCTGTTCGAGGGGACTCCGTGAAATTGCCCCTGGAACGACTGGGAACTGAGGTTGGTTACGACGGAGAAGGTCCCCCTTTCTTTTGCGGGGTTCAGACCAGGTGACCGGTGTTGACGACGTGGAGGAGATCGGTCAGGACTGGCGGCTCAATGCCAGTTCGAGGTGAGGTGGTGGTTTCCCGCCGGAGGAACGCCGATGGCGGCGCGCAACCGGGGCGGAGAACCGGAGGAACGCCGATGGCGGCGCGCAACCGGAGGCGGATAACCGGAGGAACGCCGATGGCGGCGCGCACCCGGAGGCAGAGGACCGGAGGAACGCCAGTATAAAGGCGCGCAACCGGAGGTGGGGTCAAGAGATGAAAAGAGAGAAATAGAGAGAGAGACCGGAATATAGGTAGAGGTAAAGGGAGATAGAGTGAGAGAGATAGATGAGCGTCGTCGTCGAGGAGGTGGTGTCCTGGTGGTCGTTGCCGTGGGCCACAGAGTTTACACACGCGGTAGAATCTCGCACTAACGGGATGCCGACTTAGCCTATGGTGACCGAAGGTTAAACACCTTAACTTACGTCTAGGATCGCGATGTGGCTTATAATAGTAACACTCCAGGAGTCAGAGTTCGTCTCTTCGTCGGGCAGAGGTTCGTTCCTTGCAGAGCTCGGAGAACTGAATGCGAATTCGGGCTCCGTCGCGACGGCCTGGCTTTTATACTGTTAGCTTCTAGGGCAAGTGCGGAAGTGGTGATGAGCGGGGGCCCTTCGATCATTTTCCGAATTTATTAATTTGTACCTTAATTAGTACTCCGACTAAAGCCCGATCTACAATGAGACAGAAGTCACCAGTCAGAAATCATAAACCGTAAGTTGGAAATCATAAAGAAAAATGTTGATCCACAATGAGTCATAAGTCACTATAATCTAGCCAATCAGAAACGAGGAAATTTCCATGGTGAGAGACTGTGAGAGACGGCAAGAACGGAAAACAAACCTATTGTATCTGTGAGGTTAAGTGTCGGGAAATTAAATTTGGAAACTAGTAGCGAAATAATGATGGAGAACGATTTAATAGTGATGATATTATTGCTGCAACTGTGGTATATATACAACTTAACAGTGTATGGCGTTTTGCAGTCACGACGGACTCAAGGAAGAAGGTTAGTGTACAAGTTTGATTTGAGTTTTTATTTTTCGATTGTTTCAGTATTTTTTATTAAAATTTTACAATATATATTTTATTATGTTATTGTCTCCAGATGGTGGCGTCGACCATTAAATAATAATTTTCATCGTCTGGGAGATTTTACACAGCTCTTCCAAGAGCTGAAGACCAGTGATCACGAAGAATTCTTTAATTACACAAGAATGACTCCTGACCAGTTTGATTGGTTGCTAGAGAAAACGTCTCCGTATTTAATAAAACATAGTATGAGGCGTCCGTTTCCACCAGAATTGAGACTCGCTATCATT